GGCGAACTCCAATATTCGCCGCGGCGAAAGCTTCCCGAGAGGAAACTCTCGCTCGCCCAGAAGAACTTCACCGCGGCATGCCCTTACCTTCGCCGCGGCGAAACCTTCCCGAAAGGGAAGCCTCGCTCACCTGAACAACTTCGCCGCGGCGTCCTTATGACTTCACCGCGGCCAAACCTTCCAGAGAAGACACTCCCCTCTAAAACTCCTGGTGCGCTGCGGCGAAGTAAACTTCGCCGCGGCGAACATACCCTGAGAGGGGTACGTTCACCTATTCCTCCAACAAACCTCAAATCCAACCCAAACACTAAGATCAAGATTAAATTGCTAATCTATCCTCAAAATCAACCCAAAAGAGGCTATTATTGCTAATCTATCCTCAAAATCAACCCAAAAGAGGCTATTAAAACCCGATAAAACTCAAGATGTTACAGTGATGGTGGTGAACGGAGAGAATGTCGGACTGTGATTCCGCTCGCTCCTCTGGTGTCTCTGCTCTCGCCCAGCCCTGTTCTGTCTTTTATTTCGCCGTCGCGTGCCTCTCTTCACATTGGTCCCTGTTCGCCCTTCTTTTTTTTCGCCGCCAGCATGTGTGTGTCTCCCCGTCCCTTCTTCTCTTTGACAATAATAGGTTATTAGTGGGGCGTTTTGCTCCCTTTTTTAATTATTTTTTTATTATATTTTTTTCTTTCTTTTTTTTTAAATTTTCATTTTTTTAAATCTTCCAAAAACTTGCAAACAAGATTCAAGAATAAGGTAGCATTAATTGTCCTCAAAAATTAATTAGTCACAATTAAACCAAAATATGACAATTTTGCCCCTATAAAATAATAATTCAAAATAAAATAAATTAAATCAAAAAACAATCAGTTAAGGCCAAAAGGACTAATTAAGTTAACAATTAAAAGATATCAAAATATATAAAAATAATTGAGTTTGTCAAGGGACTAAATGAAACCTTGTATAAAATTAAAAGACTAAAAATATACTTTAACCTTATAAAAATATGAAAGATAATTTGAATATGAAATATTAAAAAAGAATTTTAAAATATTTATTAAAAAAAGTAATTGTTTGGTGGGCCAATTTGTCACCCCACTTGAAGTGGGTTTATTGGAACTTATATTTGACTTTATATTTGAAACTTTCTGTAGATTTTTTATTGGATTTTGTATATTTAAAATACGTTTATATATTTGATTTGGTTGTTTATATTTAAAATTTGACTTCGAATATCATGTTTAAATCAGATTACGATTTTTTTCTTGAAAAAAGAAAAAGAGAAAAGTTAGCCCTTCGATTGCCAGTGGAGGATAACCTATAGTCTCACTCAAAAAGAAAAAAAAAAACTACCATGTTATCAATGTAATGTATAAATTGACCGTTTTTTGTTAGAACAGGGCGACAAGAAACTTACAATAGAGGGAAAATTAATATTTGGTAACTCTAGCATTATTACCGTTTTACTAAAATTACTAGCGAGGTTATTATTACAAGTAAAAGCAACCTCAAAACCCAACCTTTTGAGTTGTTCGGTTTTCTTTGTAACCCGGATAATGCATCATCATCATGCCATCGAAATCTCGTAACAAAAAGGATAAGAAAGTAATCTAACATTTAAGAAGGGGTAATACGAAGCATCATATAAATTCTTGCAAAACATTTGAGAATTCTCGTTTTGTGCTTCCTTCTTATTTCTTACATTCAATAATTAATGGCGTTAAAATTGGGAAACGAGAGGCCTTGGATGTCCAAATTGATATTTTATTCTTTCTTCTTGTTTTCTTTATTACCCATCACCATGGCAAGCCGAGACTCCTTCATTGGTGCCCCAATCAGTAATGCCAGTTCTACTCAGAAGCTTGACGTTGAGCAGATTTTGAAGAATTTGAATAAACCAGCTGTTAAATCTATTCAGGTGTGCGTGTTTGTGTGTAGCAACTTCAATGCTATATATTGAGCCAATTTTTAATCATCTAGTATTATTTTCCTTTTTAATTATGTGTTTGAACTTGGTGGGTACTTAAAACATACAGAGTCCTGATGGAGATATAATTGATTGTGTTGATATTTTAAAACAACCAGCTTTTGATCACCCAAAGCTTAAAAATCACAAAATCCGGGTAAGAATATTTTCCTTTTGTGTTTTACTATTCCTCTAATTCAGAATTTTGATGCTAGATGATACAATCAATTATTTCTCATTTGGCTTTAGATGAGGCCAAATTCTTACCCAAAAGGGATGATAATGGAAGAAAGTAATAATGGGTCTTCAAAATCAGCACCAATTCCTCAATTATGGCACCAAAATGGAACTTGTCCAGAGGGAACCATTCCTATAAGAAGGACAAGAGAAGAAGACATATTGAGAGCAAGTTCTGTTCAACAATTCGGAAAGAAAAATCTCAAGAACATCCCTCCGACAGCACCAAACGTTGGCCATGAGGTATACTTGTGTTATGCCCTCTATCAAATAAACGACAAGATTTTATTTCTATGTTTCGTTTTGCTTATTTCATGACTTTTTCCCCTATTTTTAGTTGCTTTGATGGCTTTGTTGCCTTTCAGTATGCCATAGCTTTTGCGAGAGGTGATAGATATTATGGTGCGAGGGCAACCATGAACGTTTGGAAGCCTAATGTTCAACAAAACGATGAATTTAGTATCTCTCAGATGTGGTTCGTAAATAATGATGATAGTCAAAATCTCAACACTATTGAAGCTGGTTGGATGGTACTATATATTTTATGCTTAAACATGTTTCGATATTTCTCCCTGTTATGTCTCTATACATCAATTGTATCTAATTATCCCCCATTTCTCTTAAACTCAAACAATTAGGTGAGTCCAGAACTGTTTGGAGATTATCGCATCAGACTATTCACATATTGGACTGTAAGTTCAAATTTATTTGCAACCTACTTTTTTTTTGTGTCCAAATCGCACAATTATTATTGCAATGCAACAGACTGATTCATATAGAGATAGTGGATGCTATAATCTTCTATGCTCTGGCTTTGTTCAACTCAATGCCGGAGTAGCTGTAGGATCCACCATCTGGCCATTATCTTCCTATGGGAATGCTAAATCCCAATATGAAATCAAGATCCTCATATGGAAGGTACTATTTTCAATATATTGTATGGATCATGTGCTCATATACTCCTTCGATCCTAAAAGTAGGACCTTGATAACTAATTTATAAAGATTGAAAAAGAAATAGTTTAGTTAGTTATCTGTCAGAAATGTGTTGGTTTCTTAAAATACCATTTAATTAATCATTTGTATTAGAAACTATCTCTAACGAAAATCTCCTTAATAAGTACTATTAATAGAGATGATTTGGAGACTTTTGGAGACAGTGAATTGGAGTATTATATCCTTAAGACCAAATCCATGTTAGCTTCTACATTTAAAATCATAGGAGTATATAGCTTGTTAATAGTATAGCTTGTTAATGACTTGATGCTGACAATAAAAAGGATAAACTCAATGGAGATTGGTGGATGCAATAAGGAGCGGACAAAGTTATGGGATATTGGCCTTCATCCATATTCACACACCTCTCTGATGGTGCATCATTGATGGAGTGGGGAGGTGAAATAATAAACTCAGAATATAACGGACAACACACAAGAACACAAATGGGAAGTGGGCATTTTCCTAGAGAAGGATATGGCAAAGCAAGCTATTTCAACAACATCAAAATTGTTAATCGTAAAAATCAATTGGTGCGTCCTACTAACATTTGCCTTACTCTGATAATTCCAACTGTTATACTATCCAAACCGGCTCTTCTCGTCGATGGGGCACTTTCTTCTATTATGGGGGTCCTGGCAGAAACCCTAGCTGCCCTTGATGTTGTATAGTAGTTATAAGGTTTTATTAGAATTTCTATCAAATATTTAATATTTTTCTCGGTCTTCTTGGTTGGTCTCAGATGCTTCGTACATTGTGGATGAGAATATAATACAGCATTAATATATAGGTGAATGTGTATTATTGATTATGTTATTTGTATTTTAAGGCTTAACATACTTGCATGTCTCGCCATCGCAGATTTTAATAAAATTCTTCCATCTATTAGAATATAATGAATTGTTTAAAGAAAAAGGAAAAATTGAAGTCGAAAAAAAAATCACTTTGTCGATTAAAAACAAAGGCAATTTGAAAAAGGTCAATGAGAAAGGGAAAAAAAAATTATAAAGGCATCGGTAATTCGGGAAAATCAATGGAATGGATAAGGTTTTTTTTTTAAAAAAAAATCATGTTGTACTGCTCTCAATGATAAAATAAAAGAAGGGAAAGATAATATTCTTCTCCTCTGCGATGCTCTTCAATAATGGACCCCTGGTCAAAGTAAAAAATTCCCATACAGTGGATTTTTTTCCGTTAATTGGTATATTTTCTTGGAAAAGTTTCACAAAGAGACTTGAAAATCACTAAATCTGGATGTTTGGTGCAAGTGAATGTGTAGTCAAAACTAGTTAAAGTATAAGAAACAATCTTGATTTAGGATTTAGTAATTTTCAATCCTTTTTGTGAGATTTTTAAATTTTCTTTTAAGTTACCAAATCTTGTAATTATTAAATATTGGATACTATTGTTCTATTTTTGTGTCAGTTAACGGTTAACAATTGAATTACCACATATCAATAAAGCTTAATGTAATTTATTGTTATGAGCAAATCTTAAAAGAGATACGGTAATAAATTATTAAATTTCATCAATATAAGCAAACCTCAGAAGGGACTGACGTAATTTATCCTTATAATTATTTATAATTATAATATTAAAAAGTTTCCCGAAATAATACTGCTTTCCTATTTTTGTAGTTAAACTCATTTTGGTAAGTAATTATGGTCGAATCATAGAGTAACTTCACATTCAAGAGACTAGCGTCCTATAAATTTCTGAACCTTCAATTCTCCAACACCGACGTGAGCATTCTCACAGAGGAGCTATCTTAGCTTAGCTTGTTTTATATTTCCTCACCTTCAATGGCGGCAAACTCGGGAGATTATAAGACTTACTGGGTAAAGAACTATGTCTTATTCTGCTTCATCTTGTTTTCTGTACCTATGGGGATATCAGACCAAGACAAGAATGGCGGTTCTGTTCTGAATCTTGAGATTCGGAAGCTTATGAACCAGTTGAACAGACTAGCTGTTAAGTCTATCTAGGTATACATACAAGTCTTTTTTTTTTTTAAATGAATTTTCAATTTGACAAATAACAGCTCTCTGCCATTCTATATTTTATCATTGATTGGGCTAACCGTTGGTGTTTCAAAATCAGAGCCCTGATGGTGATATAATCGATTGCGTTCATATTTTAAATCAGCCAGCTTTCCAGAATCCGAAGCTCAGGGATCACAAAATTCAGGTAACATAGTTTGCTTCAAGTTTCTTTTCTTTTTCACCGAACCAAAATTTTCTCTCATTCACAAGCTAATTATCTCTCATTTTATGAAGATGAGACCAAGTTTTCATCCAGAAGGAATGATGTTTGAAGAAAATGAAGCATCATCTTCAAGGCAAAAGCCAATTTCTCAGTTGTGGCACCAAAGTGGAAGTTGCCCAGAAGGAACCATTCCTATAAGAAGAATAACAGAAGAAGACATCTTAAGAGCAGAATCTATCCGAAGATTTGGGAAGAAGAACCACAAGAGCATTCCTGACTTCACATCTTTTAAAACTGGAGCTCAACACCAGGTATATATACTGTCGCCACTGTGCGTGTATCTCTGAATTTAAACACAACAACCTCTTTTTTTTCGTAAATACAAGTAAACTAATGTAGTTTCTTCAGTTTTATGTTTACTTACTAATGTATTTTTCTTCTGTTGTTTCTTTGATGATTTTGGAACCTCTCGTTTGCCACAGTTTATGTGACGGGAGATAAGTATTATGGAGGCAAGGCATCCATGAACATTTGGAAACCCATAGTTGAAAAGCATAACGAATTTAGTAACTCTCAACTGGGGGTACAAAATGGTAATACTAGCAAAGGTTACGATAGCATTCAAGCTGGCTGGCAGGTATATATTCTTTAATTTCTTTCCAAAAAGATTATATCCAAATATATTACATATCATCAACCAAGAAACTTCTCATTTCTGATGTGCTCACCTGAGTTTCTTTCTCCCTCTCTCTGTTTTTTGGTTTTTTAATTTGGAAAATTAGGTGAATCCACAGCTATATGGAGATAAGAACACAAGACTTTTTACATTTTGGACAGTGAGTTCAGCTTTGTTAATTCACAACCCAGATTGTAGTTTCATCAAACCATTCTCTTGGTTATTATCATTATATAACTAATTTACTGATTTTATGTGACAAAATGACAGGCAGATTCAGGTCAAAGTATGGGATGTTTTGATATGCTTTGCTCTGGCTTTGTTCAACTTAACAATGGAGTAGCTGTAGGAGCCTCCATCCAACCGTTGTCTGTCTATGGCGACCTTAAATCCCAATTTGATATAACCATCCTTATTTGGAAGGTACCCAACTCTTTTCATATCAGATTACATCAATATCATCATTCTCATTGAAATATAACATGTTTATTTCCTCATATCAGATGAATAATTGAATCTGATATATGTGTTCCATCTGATATATATTTAGGATCCAATCAATGGAGATTGGTGGATGCAATATTGGAGAGATACAGTGGTGGGATATTGGCGGTCGTCTTTGTTTGGACGCCTCTCTGATGGGGCAACGACGATACTGTGGGGAGGTGAAGTGTTAAACTTAGCATCTGAAGATGGGAAACACAGCATAACACAAATGGGAAGTGGACACTTTGCTGGGGAAGCTCAAGGGAGAGGAAGTTATTTCAGGAGCATCACAATTGTGAATGGCAAAAACCAATCTGTGCCTCCTCCTAATGGTGTTGCCACTTACTCTGACCATGTCAACTGCTACAATGTGAAAATGGCATCTTCTGATGATGAACTTGGAGCCTACTTCTATTTTGGTGGTCCAGGAAGAAATCCTGATTGCCCTTGAGAGAGGCACAGAGAGAAGGGGAGAGAGAGAGAGAGACTATTATTATGCAGATATTTATATTGCTAGTTTTCTTTTTTCCCAATCATGATTTTTGTACGAATAAGAAGGCGACTTTAATTCTTTATTGTTCCCTTAGTTATATCAAATGTTCCTTTCTTATGTATTGTTCGCTTAGTTAAATCAACTGCTTTTGATTGAGTTCTTTGAATTAACCTAGTAATTAAAAAGTACTCGTGGAGTGAGAAAAAGTTTAGTGAGACAAAACAAGTGCATTAAAAGGCATAACGTTTTCTTTTGAATGAAATTAAAAGGCATAACTTATGGCCTGTAATGGCAATGATGTGCAGCAACTTATTTCTTGAATGAGCTCCTCCTTCTCATTAAAAGTTCTGGGTGAATTATCTCTTTTTCTTGGGCATTGAGTTTCATAGCGGAGGTTGGTTTTCATCTTTCCCAAAGGAAGTACTACAGAAGTGTTGCAGATTCTGTTTCAGATGTTCTTTGGCTTATGGCTGTGTTAAAAGAGATGAATAATCCGCTGATTTGTACTCCCACCATATGGTGTGACAATTCTGGAACGGTAGCCGTAGCTGCCAATCCTGTTCCGGATAATAAGTCCAAGCACTTTGGGCGTGACTTATACTTTCCTCGTGAAAAAGTGACGGAGGGAATATTACGTGTGGGATATGATGAATTATACAGAATATTAATCAGTTTCTCTCAACTTGTGCCTCTGATCCGACTTTCGAATAGACACAAGCAAACTAAAATTGCCAAGGGATATGATGATAAAGGCAAGGTTATAGTACATGTATTTCCACTCAGGTAAATAATAGATACATATAACTCAACATATATAAAAATAAGCTTACTTGAGGAATTAGTTACTAGTAAAGAACTAAAAAAGTACAAAAGTTTCCAAGAATAACAATGTAAAGTTACTTCTTTTTCCTTCTTTTCCTTTTGATATATCTGATCAGTTTTCAAGAGGAAAGATCATGGGCAACCAGGGTTTCTCCCAGGACCACCAAAAAAAGAAGTACTTGTCCCAGTTATCAGAAGTACCAAGTTGGACGTTGTAGCAGTTGGATTGGTCAGTGTAAGTGTGAATATTATTGGGAGGGATGGCTTGGTTATTGCCATTAACAATTCTAATTTCCATGAAAAAGCTAGCTTTCCCAAAACCCTCTTCAGGAAAATGACCGCTTCCCATTTGTGTTGTGGTGTGTTGTCCATTAGACTCTGAGTTCACAACTTCACCTCCCCACATTATCTTTGTTGCACTCTCAGAGAGGCGAGAGAACAGAGAGGCTGGCCAGTATCCCACATATGTATCATTCCCATAAGACATCCACCAATCTCCTTTCTTCGGATCCTGCTCACCATCAAAACATAAATCGATCAAATCAATAATGTTTTACTAAAGTGAACAAATTAGTGTCTGAATTAGATGTTTGTCTCACTAAAAGGAAACTCACGTATGTCCCTCCCATGAATAGAAATAGAGATTCTTTCCAGGTGGAACTGGTGTGCAGGTGTAGAGAGAAAAAGAGAGGTTTGGTGGGTCCCACATGTTAGTGAGGCCCACCAAAACTTCTATCTCTTTCTTCTTCTCTTGTGCCCTCCTCGCATTGAGAGAGCCAGATATGCAAGTATGATATGAAATCTAAACATTTTGTGGAATCTATTTCTTAGAAAGTGTGTTTGTATCTGCAGATCTGTCGGGGCAGAAAGTTGGTAACTTCCAGATAAGAATGGTGATTTCATATTGGGAATTATTATCACCAAAGACAGACAATGGTTCTATGGTGCCTTCCAGGGCTATTTCATTGTTAACTTGAATAAAGCCAGAACAGAGAAGATCATAGCATCCAGTGTGTTAACCTGCATCAGCCTGAGTCAAGTGTAAAATGAAATAGTGATATTAACAATATTGAAGATTATGATTTAAAGAAACTACAAATTTCAAGTTTAACTTACTGTCCAAAATGTGAAAAGCCTTGTGCCATTATCTCCGTACAGCTCTGGATTCACCTAATTGTCCAAATCAATAGAAAAGAGTATCGCAGGTAAGCACATGAGAAATTAAAACTTAGTTTGATATTATATTTTCTGAAATAAGTTTAGTTAGTGTTTTTTTTTTTTGGGAAAAAATAATCATTTACTTCCTGTAACGTTGACTCAATTATAATTTTATTCTTGAGATTTAAACTCTTCCAATCCCTTAAATTCCAACCTATTAATCAATCAGTCCCAACATTTCAAGAATATCACCTATCCTTCAAGGATTAATTGAGGCATGATCAAATCGAAAAGTATAAGAGACTAAAGGATTCAATAGCTAAAACTTAAGGGACTGAATTTTATCGGATTAAATTTCAAGAACTGATGAATTGTGACTGAATCAAAATTACAAGATTAAATGATTAATTGTCTTCTTTTTCTTGAGAAATTAAAGAGTATACCTGCCAACCCGCATGAATGCCATCGTAATTACTGGTATCACCATTTTGAATCCACACTTTAGAGTTACTAAATTCATTAAGCTCTTCAACATTGGGATTTTAAACGCTCATAGTTGCCTTGCCTCCATAGTATTTATCTCCCTCTGTATAAACTGCCGCAAACTTTTTTACCAAAAAAAAAAAACTGCCACAAACTAGACAAACCAAATTAGTCAAAGAAACTTGACCAAAAGAACATTAAATAGTAAAACAAAAAAATCCAACAAAAGAGCTCTGTTAATGCATATAATAAACATATAAATTGACTGCCTTCTGAGGTATAATACCTGGCTTTGAGCTTGAGTTTGAAAAGATTTAAGCTTTGGGATGCTCTTCTGATTGTTTTTCCCCTATTGTTGGAAAGAGTTTGCCCTCAATATGTCATCTTTTCTTATCCTTCTCATAGGAATGGTTCCTTTTGGACAATTTCCTCTTTGCATCCGTAACTGAGCAATTGGTGGCTTTGGCTTTTTTGAAGATACTACTCTACTTTCTTTGAGCATGCTTCCTTCTGGGTGAAAACTAGGTCTCATCTTCAATAAAGCAAGAAAATATTCAGCTTTAAATTTGTGAATAAGAGAGAAAGCTAGAAAACAGAAGGGTGCATATTGCTTTACCTTAATTTTCTCATTTATGAGTTTGGGATCACTAAAAGCTGGCTGATTTGAAATATTGACACAGTCAATTATATCTCCATCAGGACTCTGACTTGAATAAGACGGAAAGCCTCTTGAGTATGAAATCAATATATTTGAATACAAATCTTAGTCAGGACTACTAACTGATATTGGTAAAACCTAAGAAAGAAAGAACTGTACTATCTCGATAGATTTAACAGCTGGTCCGTTCAATTTCCTCAAAAGCTTCTGAATCTTAAGATTTTGATGGTAGTTACCATCCTTCATGTGTTGGTCTGCTATAGTCATAGACACCGACAACAACCAGAAGGATAAAAAGACATTCAGTGGCCAAGTCTTCCCACCTGCAAAATTTGCCGCCATTATTGAATATGAGGAAAATATAATGAAGTTAGCACCTTGGTATATGATATGCGATAGGATATGTGTGAGTGTGTGTTCATAAAACACACCAAAAACATAATTGAAATTCAAAGAATCCAAACCACCAAGAACATAATTGTAGTCCATTGATAAAATTTATAAACTAATTAACATAATTTGCCATATGAAATATATAAACTAATTAAAACCTAAAAATGTAGATATATTTAAAAGCAAATAATAAAAGACATTAGGGAATAACCAATAAGCTGTTGATTAAGATGGTTTCACTCCCATAAGAAGGAGAATACAAGTTCGAATCCCGAGATGTGCACTTGTTAGAAGGATAGAGATTAATCTCTAACTCAAAGTGGTTTGAGAATGCTCTGAGTCATACTTAAAAGAAAAAGGATATTAGGGAATAAAAAGTTATAACTGATCGATATCACAATCTTTAGTTCTTTCAATTTGTTTTAAAACAGATGCTTCTTGAAGTATGAAAAACATGTTGAAAATTATTTGTTTTTGTGAAAAATGTAATTATTTGGATACTTTTCATATGTGTGCATGTGGATATGGATGTACTATTAATGAGAAAATCTGATAACAACAATCGTTGGATGTTTCTAATAAGGTTCATGCGCGTCGTACATGCAGAGAGAATAATACAGTATTATATTGGTCCCTCCCGTGCGTCGTCTTTCCTAAGCATCATTTTGGTTCATTAAATTCGTTGATAACCATACAAACATTTAAGTATGTATTTTGTTTGGAAAAAAATTGTACTCTTATAATATATAGCCTTTTTTTTTTTTTTTGGCTAGAAACCTTTTCTTGATTTCGAGCACAGAACCTCCAAATTAAATCCTCGTGAATGTACCATGAAGACTAAATCTGTTAGTTATTAGAAACTTTTCCGTTACCCAAAATATTTATGCTTGGATGAAATTTAATGTAAATAAAATATATTCCTTATTATTTATATTCATTCTTTACCTTGTATATATTTTTTTCTTTTACATATAAAGTATTATAATAGCCTAATTGTATATTATTGGAGGACACATATTTCATTGAAAAGAGTTAAAATCATAATATAATGTGTATATTAAAATATAAAAATATAATCAGTGTTCGTTAAATTGAATTGAAGCAGATGATTCAGTCAGAAATTACTAGTGAACCAACGGTAGGACTGATTGTGAACTAGAGGGTCAATCATTTTAAGAATCGCCCAAACGATCAAAAAATTTAAAAAGCTAGCTAGCTTTATTGATTTGATCCGTCCAAACTAAAAAAAGAAAAGAAAAGAAACAATTAAATTGTTTTTTGGGGTTAGCAATTAAAGTTTTTTTTTTTGTTATTGGTACAAAATGGCATAATTTTTTGGAGTATAAAGAAATGGCATCATTTTTGTAACACATTGTTTGCGCTTAATTATTAATGATTATGAATTTACTTAATGGACGCCATATAGTTTATTTGCTGCCTTTTTTTTTTTTAAGTGTGATTTGAGATTTGAGATTATGGAGGACTATAAACTCAGTGCTTACATTTAATCCTTTAATTTTATATATAAATTTTTAGTCTAATTTTTTAATTTTATAAAGTATCTTTTTAATTCTTTAATCTGACAATCTCAGTTTTAAATGATTCTTTTTATACCAATTATTATTATTGTTGGAGGTTAAACTTCACATCTGTCAACAATTAAAACTTCGATCTGAGAATTTCTTGTTAACTGTGTTAATGTTAGAAGAATAAAAAGATATTTTATAAAAATTAAATAATCAAAATGAAGTCTTAAATAAAGTAAAAGATCAAAGATACACTTATGCCAAACATTTCAATTACAAAATTATATGTTACGTTTTGCTATAAAAAATATATTAATTTCATTCCCACCAGATTCAATCATCATTTTTTTTCTATGCATGGGTATCCTCTAATTCAAAGTACTGTCAGGTATTAAAATTGAACACCTCTCCTATTAAAAATTCAAATTTTAGTTCGCGGACTAGTCCAAAATAATCAAACCATGGTTCAAAATAACCAACAGAAAAGGCCGGCCCATGACTGCAGGAAAAGATACAAGTCCAACAAACAAGACAAACCAACTGAACAAACGGAAAAAACAAAATAATGAACCTTGAAACATGGGAGAATTTCAATTAGGCCCCACCTAAGGGAATTAAATACAAAAAGATCCTTTGAAATCATGAAATTATTTTGAAGTCCCAAGAGACTTTTTTGCAATAAATTTTATTTGTTTAATTACCAAATTATCCTTCTTCTTTTTTTAAGTTTGTATTGACAAATGAAGAGCAGTGATTGACAACTCAGGGTATAAGGATTGACAACTATCACAGCTGGTTTGACAACTCAATGTGTGATATGCTGAGAAAATGTGTTGTCAAACCAACCGCGATAGTTGTCAATCTTTGCATCCTAAGTTATCAACCACTGCTCTTTTAGTTGTCAATGCAAACTTAAAAAAAAGATAATTTGATAATTAAACAAATAAAATTTATTGCAAAAAGGTCCCTTGGGAGTTCAAAATAATTTCGTGATTTTAAGAGACTTTTTTGTATTTAATTCCCTTGGATGGGACCTAAAGCAATTTTCCCTTGAAACATTGATTTGGCTCGTTTGACCAGTCCCATTTTAAAAAGAATAAAACTGAAATATTATCAATAAACTACATAGAGGCATATATATATATATATTGTTATGTTTTTGACCAGCAAGATTATGGATTTTTTTTTAACCTTAAGCAAGATTATGGAATTGATTCTTATAGATATTGGTTATTAAAATATTATGATAACGTATCCTTAATCTCATGTTTGGATTGAGAGAAAATAGGGGAGGAAAGAAAATGAAAGAGGAAAATAAGAGAAGAAATGAGTTTTCCTCCATTTGGATGAGGGGAGAAAAGTGAGAGGAAAGAAAAGTAAAGAAGAAAATAGAATGTGAGACCCACTTTATTTTCTCTTCAACTTTTCTCTCCACATATGGAGAGAAAATGAGAAGAAAACTCATATTTCCTATATGCCCTCCTCAAATATATATAATCCAATAATATCACATTCCACCTTTAATACAAGTTTTTCTTTTTAATTTTACTTATGACTACTTCATAATTCAACAAAATTATCTCATTATATTGAAGCCAAAATCAAAAGCTACACATGAACTTCATTCTTTCACATTTCAACGAACAATACAAGAAATTCACACAAATTAATATATATATATATATAATTTCTTCATCTCTTTCAACTTTTATATTAAATTTTTACTATTTATTAATAATCTTAAATAATACGTAACTTACTTGTATCATTTCATTATGTTTGATTTTAAAAAAATTATCCACTTTTTTTTCACCTTTAAAAAGAATATTTTTCACTAAATTATTTGGTTTTTACAATATAATCACATGATAATAAATTTTTATCAAATAATTTGATTTTAAATTATTTAATGATATTAACACTAATATGATTTTTTTATTATGATATTTAATTTAATTTATAACATGATATATTTTGATACAAGAATAAAGGTATTTTACATATTCACATGTTTGCTCATTTTCTTTCCTTCTTATTTTCCCTCGCGCATCCAAACATAAAGGAAGATAACATTTTCTCTCCAGTTTTCTCTTCTTTCCATTTTCTCTCCTTGTATTTTCTTTTCTCCCAACTTTTCTTTCCATCCGAACTGTAATTGATATCAGAGGCATTTTTGCAAAGAAAATCCCGTCGGATCATAAAACAACTTCACTTTTGAATGATGGAGAACATCTCATAAATCCCTGACCTTTCGAATCCCCAACATATCGATTCGAGAATTCTTACGAAGGTCCTTCAATGGCAGCAGAATCAGAAGAAGCCAAGACTTGGGTGGGGAATATGTTATGCTTCTTCTTGCTGTTTTCTGCATCCATGGCCATAATAGACCAAGGCAGGGACGGTAGTTCTAATTACCAGAATCTTGAGATTCAGAAGCTTTCGAAGAAGTTGAACAGACCAGCAGTTAAATCTATAAAGGTAAACGATTTTTATAACTACGACTGTATTTGACTCTTATTTGAACTTTATCTGAATATTGTTTCTCATCAGAGTCTTTAACAATGGGTGAAAGAACAAGAATTACATTTCTGGTTTAATCTTGTGTATTAAGCTATCGTGGATCATGTTATTGATTATAACATATTTAACCAAGTAATCTTGTCCCATTATTCTTTCTTGAATGTGTACTTAGATAATGATGAAACTTTGCATGTTTCATACTTTTATTTATCATAACCGTTTGAAATAACATTTGGTATTAATTATAAAAGTCAGAGCCCCGATGGAGATATAATCGATTGTGTTCATATTTCAAATCAACCAGCTTTTACTGACCCAAAGCTCAAAAATCATAAAATTCAGGTAAAATTAAACAAACCCCATCTTTATTTTAGTTTTCTCTTTGCACTCAAATTTGAAATTAATTTATTATTTCATTCTATTGAAGATGACACCATGTTTTCACCCTGAAAAAAGTTTGCTTCAGAAAAGTGAAGTGTCTGCAAAATCACAACCTGTTGCTCAATTATGGCAGCAGAGTGGAAGTTGCCCAGAAGAAACCATTCCCATAAGAAGAATAAGAAAGGAAGACATATTGAGGGCAAAATCTATCCAGCAATTTGGAAAGAAGAATCTCAAGAACATCCCTCAATATGGATCATTTGAAACTCATTCCAAACACCAGGTATTCTGTTGCATCTGTGCTTCTCAAGTTTTTCCTAAATACTGAAAGCGTTAGTTTCATTCCAAAGAGAAGCACGTTTATCATTATATGTTTAAGCATGTTTCTGGATTTTTTTCTGGTTTACTTATTTAATATATTTTTAATGTTTCTTTGACAACCTTGGTATCCAGTTTGCTGCAGTTTATGTGAAAGGAGATAAATATCATGGAGGCATGGCAACTATGAACGTTTGGAATCCCCATGTTCAAGAGCACAATGAATTTAGTGACTGTCAAATCTCAATTCTAAACGATAACATTGGTAAAGGTTATAATAGCATTCAAGCTGGTTGGCAGGTACATATTCTTTAATTTATTGAAAATTTAATTAAAAAGATATGTAAGAATAGAAATTCACATCAAGCAAACATTTCAAGTCATTATCTTTTTTCCAAATATCGTAAATCAGGTCAATCCCCGGCTGTATGGAGATAATAACACCAGATTTTTTACATTTTGGAGAGTGAGTTCGCTTTCTAGTGATTTCTTATTCAAGGCATTCTCTTCATTATTGTTAAATATTTCTTGATTTTATTTTACATTTGATAGGGTGGTTCAGGTGAAAATGCTAGCAGGTGTTATGATCTTTTTTGCTCTGGCTTTATTCAAGTGAACCATCGCGTAGTCGTGGGAGCTGCCATAAGGCCCTTGTCTGCCTATGGAGATAGCAAATCCCAACATGCTATCACCATTCTTGTCTGGAAGGTATACTGATTCTGTTTGTTAGGCTTTTGAGAAATCGAGTTGACTTGATTTAATTCCAAAAAAAGGGCAAAATTCCAACATCAGTTACAGATTTGTAACCAATTTGTGGAAAAGAGCAAATATATTCGCGGAAAAGACCCCATAAATCCCTGAGTTAAGACCAAACAGATTCATCATTCCAACATGCTTTCTACGATTCTTCATATAGGAGTTAGATAACTAATTTGTAAAAATTAAAGAAATTACAACATCCGATGCTTAATATAAGAGCTAATTTGACTTTCAATTTGGTCAAATATATAAGACTCTAATCTATTTTATCTCTTATGTTTATCTATTTTTTTCAAAATAGTCCTTATAATAGTTACTTCTATTAAAGGTTTCATCAAATTATAGTTCTAACTAATACACATATTAGTAAATGTATTCTAGGAAAGACAACACCTATTTGTTACAAATAACTAACATAACAAACTTTGTTCATTTATTTAAATGAGTCTACTAGCTTTTATATTAAAGACCGAAGGTAATAGTTAAATTAGTTATGCCTAAAAAATAAACATTGATTTTTCTTAAATATCCTCTTTGGTCATTTGCATTGAAACTATCTCTTCATGAAAACTCCCTTGACATGTGGATAGAATATGGATAGTTTGGGGGGAAATTATAAATTTGAAAAATAAAATGAATTGAAGTGTTATATTTAGAACTAGAGTAAACTCTCAACTAGTTCGTATATTTAAGATAGGAGGGAGTACATCCCTAGCAATGTCGTGTGTGTGTTTTTTTTCTTATTTTGCCAAAAGCAATGTCATGTTGTTAACCAATGATGTATTGTTCTTTTTTGATGAAAATAAGGATTTTGAAAATTGAGCAGGATTAAAAGAATGGAAACTGGTGGCTGCAATATGGCCCTAATAATGAAGTTGTGGGATACTGGCCAGCTTCTCTATTCCCACTTCTATCTGAGAGCGCAACAACAGTAGGATGGGGAGGCGAAGTATTAAACTTAGGATCAAATGGCCAACACACTACAACACAAATGGAAAGTGGTCATTTTCCTCAAGAAGGTTATGGCAAAGCTTGCTTTTTCTGGAATATTAAGGTTGTTAATGGCAACAACCAACTGTGCCTCCTAATAACATTCGCACTCGTGTTGACCAACCCTACCGTTACAACGTCCAAACTAGCCAATCTAATGACTGGGGCAACTACTCTTTTGGTGGACCTGGAAGAAACCCTAGTTGCCCGTGATCATTCATCTTGAAAAACTCATTTATGTCAAGACGAACCAAAGATAAAGAGCTGTGATTCCGAGGCATTTTATATTGTTTGCATTTTAAATATTTAGATCTCAGAACAGATTTGTTGATAAAAGAAAACCGTTTACATAACTTTAATTGTTAGAAGTTTAAGATGCCAGCTGGTGCTCCTCAGTGAACAGTTAAAGGGGAAAATGTCTGAATCTTTTTACAATCGATAGCTAAAGTAACCAAAATCACATGAAACAAGCTTAATTATGTATAATATCTTCTCATATTTCTTTAATTTGGGTGTCATAAATGCATTTTGTATATCCTGTTTAGTCGATCAAGGAAACCTGTGATATATTACAAAATTTCATAGAATTTTTTAAATTTTTTCGGGAAAAAAAAAAGCACATGCATGTTGCTAAAGGAAAATATGTTTAAAGTATTGTCAAACACTAAATATGACATTAATGTCTTTTTCAGTAGGAATTTAAATTTTAGTTTATCACGTTATAAAAAATTAGTCTTTTTTATTAGACCCAAACCGTCGTTGATCAACTTTTTAATTTTGATTGTGTTATATTATGTATAAATTTAGATACTCTTTTGACTAAACCTGCCAAGCCATGTGTCGAACAAAATATGAAAAAACGGGTATCAACGCGGGAATAAGAAATTTGAAAAAAAAAAAAAAGGGTGTAAAAAACCATGTAAGTTCCAACTTTTCATTATTATTTTATTCATCTATAGTATAGGCATCTCTGCATATGGTGATGACCTTCTCCATATATGCCTTCCAAGTGTCAGCTTCTCAACATATTGCATTGCACAGCTCGACTCTGACCAATCCTGCAAAAGATAGACATGTAAATTCAAAGATGTCAGAAAATTTGTTACCATACCTTAAAGGATTGACCCATATAACTTTGTTACAAATTACAACAAATGGTATGACTTCTTTTTCAAATTTTATGTAGTATACACACATGAAAATATAAATATATCTTGCGTTTCCCAGAATGTATCGTAAATATAACAAATTATATATGTTTTTTTACATAATTGAATGAATTGAATTTAAATCAATATACATAATTCCATCATTAATTATCTTCTTCGGTTGAAATTTTATAGGGAAAATTTCGATTAAGGACTGCATATGAGAATTAATTTTAAACAACCCCAAAAATTTTTAAAATAATACTGCAGAACCAAAGGATCGAATTGAAATTAAAATTAGGAGTAAGATTACAATAATACCTCTCATTTTTATTTTTTAAAAATAAATATTAATAGTCGCTGGAGTTCCAGCCACCGATACTCAAGTAGCCGCCTCCGGAGGTTGCAGCTTTGGTGGCCTGAAGTTTTTTTTTTTTTTTAAATAAGGTGGCCAAGAGAAAGTTTGAACCCATAACTTCTTGGCACACCAAAAGTGATGTGACCACCAAGCCAAGCAAACCATTTAATCATGTGATGCAAATAAAAATATATATAACAAAGCAAACGTAAGTGTCTAAGTGTAAGTGAACAATTGAAATTCGACAATTTACAAGTGAAATTCAGTAATTTATAACAAAAATTTGACAATTTACAAATAACATAATAGAATTCACAACCCCAAATGCAAGTGTTTAAATGTAAGTGAACAAGTGAAATTCGATAATTCACAAATGAAATTTAGCAATTTAAAACAAAAATTGGGTAATTTACAAATAATATAATGGAATTCACAACCCTAAATACATGTATTTAACTGTAAGTGAGTAAGTGAAATTCGTGATTTACAACAACAATTAAGATTTTTACAACCCAAATTGAGTTATTCTCATGTTCGTTGTTTGTGCCTCATTTTAGGACGTTGTTTGTGCCTCATTTTAGGACGTTGTTTGAGACCTCATAATACAGAAATTGGCTGAAATAGGCTGCTCCTCATCTCTGTGGCAGAACTAAGATGACAAGGGATTGGATGAACCTTTGGTAATTGTAGAGGCCAGGGATGATCTAAGGATTGGGTTGTACTTACATATCCGGGCACAGCCACCTTGTATGGTGATCCGAGGTGGTGGTAAAAGTGAACCCGATGAAAGTGTGTGTTGAGCTAGTGGGTCCAATGATTTTTATGCGTGAAGCTGGGCGATAGGGCATGTGTTATATGCTCAAGGGTTTATGGTGGTTATGAACCCAAATGTTAAATCAAGTTCTTTATCTGGACTCACTTAAGACCTCAGAGTCACCACATGTTGGACAAAAGTACATGGCATAAGCACCACGGTGGCAGTGGGTGTCCTAGAAGAGGTAACACTTGATTAAATTGACTTATGCTACTGTTGATTATGTTTACCAGCTGAGTTCATACTCTCGTGGTTCGGTCTCTTGCCAACAGGTACGCACATATTTAGCTTTAAGCACGAAGCTAAAACCTGGTGCCTTTTGATGGTTTCATGCATGGTCAAAGTTTTAACCATGAAACATATAATTAATTGGGAGAACAGTTTTATAATGCCTATTAATGTTGTGTTATCCGCTACTTGTGTTTTTTGGTGATTATACAGCAGGAGTTGATTGACATATTGATATTGTGGCTTAACCGTAACTTATCAGTTACTATATTATGAGTAGAGAATGTTTTGTTATGAAAGCTATGGGCATGGGAAGCCACTTTGCAGTGCAAAGTAAATATTTATGGTGTTGTCGAATGTTTCAATAGGTATTATTACATTATTTATGTCATTAAAATAACTTACGTCCCATTCGTTGGAGGATTTACTGTTTTGATTAGTGGGTAAATTAATTTGGTTTAATAATTGGTAACCTTCTGATTTTATTCCAGCAAACGTGCCGTTAGCCCTGGTTTCATGGGTCTCGGTACTCTCCACGTTAATGCCTCGTGCATGATTGGTTTTATGTGTTTTAAATATATATTGTTAACCTTGGTATAGTTATTATCTGTTGATGTCATGAGCTGGTTAAAATTCATTACTCTGATTGTCTGCTTCCTCATTATTACTATTAATATTGCTCATCTTTATCCATCCATGTATCTCTATATATCCTTTTAATGTAATTGCTTCTGTTACTGCCTTTATTGGGTTCATTACTGTTATGCTTAGAATTGTGTAAAAAAAAGTTAAATATTCATTAATGTGAACATTGTCATTCATGGCCTGATTCCATATATGGTCATCTTGTTGGAAATTCTGGAAGTTAGTTGTTATATTAAAAGAGACTACTTAATTATATTAAGTTTCATAACCTCCATATATACACACACACACATACTCTCTTAATGTTGGGGGTTTTATTGGGTTTAGTTAATGAGTATTCCGGTGACTTTAATCCCTTCCATTTGTTGAGGTTTTATTGCTTTCGGTTGATGGGCATATTAAATTGGTTTGAATAGTTGCTAACCTCCTATTATTCCATCAACGTCTTCTCTCCTTGAATAATCATTTTTAGTGTGCCATTGGCTTCGTATGTAAAAATATATTGTAACATCGATGTTATGAGTTTCATAACCCCCTATATATAAATGCCACGTGAGTGGTCTTTTGTGGGTCTTAATATACTCCTCCGGTCCTTAATATAAAACTCATTTAACTAATTTGATTAGATTAAGAAAGTTAGGTAAGTTAGTTAATTATAAAAAATATAACACATTTTTCCTAAAACACCATAATTATCTTTCTTAATACCTCCTCTCCCTCTTCTACTTGATTATGGTTGAGGGAGTATCCATAGGGATAATTTAGAGAAAATTGATAAATATGGTAAATGGGTCTTATATTTAGGACCAAAACCAACTTAACAATTGGGTCATATATTAAGGACCGGAGGAGTATTACCGTTGTGTGGACAATTAAACCTGTCAATGGAATTTAAAATACATTACGTGATGACAATTTTGACGAAAATATTTGATTATATGAATGGAACATTTTAAATCCTATGTATCCATATTTTTATGTGGTGTTTTTAATAGTTTGGCATTGGGAACAAACTTTAAATTTAATCTTTTGTGACTCCTTGTGAAATTAGAATGATATTTTTAATTCTAATTTATAATTAGAATGGGAGGAGATATTGGTGTGAAATTCTAATTTAATTAGAATTATTATTGATAAGGTATGTAAATAATTTTTCTATATTTGAAAGTGTGGGGTGCCTAAAATGTAGGGTACCTCATAGAAGTAATATTGGTGGAGAAAAATACGTTTTAGTTTATTTCAAATTGTGTTAGTCTCATTTTGGAAATCTCAATATATGTGTTGTGATTGAAAAAAATAATAATAATCATAACTGGAGGCTTTGTTATTTGCTATTGAGAGCAAATTTTGTAAATTATCAAATTTTTCTGTGTTGCTTAAAACAAGCACTATGTGGATATAAAAATTTAGTCATTTATCTAGTGCAGAGATAAATATGCTTTAATTTTCATAATATCATTATTTGTGGATAAATAATTTATCTTGATATAAATATGTATGAGTATGCACAATTATTACGAATATTGAATGTGGATATAAAATATTATCTATAATGTTTTATTGCTTCAAAATTTAATATGAAAGCATGGGTGAAAGTGGTTGTAAGTGTTGAAATCATAAAGGAATGAGATTTTGAGAGAAATGGTTTTAAAAGCTTGGTTTTTAAGAACCAATATGTAAATATTGCTTATGATACTAACACTTTGTTTGAGGGAGTTGTGCAACTCAATTTGTGTATGCACAAATTTTTGAGATTTTGTTGCATTAAATTAACTTTGTGATGTAACTTTTGATGAACACATTTAAATATGGAGTCCTATAAGGGAAATGAAATACTTGAGGGATACCATAAATTTTGGTGTCATGTGCAGTGGATTCCCGTGGTGTAGAGATACACGGATGTTAACTGAATTTCAGTTTATATGAAAGAAATTCACTAGTGATCATTCAACTTTAGTGGTGATTAGAGGCTATGATGCTAAAAATTTCTTAGCAGATGTTTGGTGTAAAACCGACACTTGTCGATGAGTTGTGATTGCTAAATGGCAATAATCATTGTAGAGAGAACAATGGTGCAAGTGGAAATCACTTGAGATACAATGTGAATAAGCATGCTTAAAAATTGCGGAGGTATCTTAATCAATTTTTATGAGATCAAAGTGGACCTAGCGGATCCGTTAATAACCCTAGGAAGAAACAAATCAGTCGAGAGGAATGGGACTAAAGCCACTTGAAATTGATAGCGATGACAACCTAACCTTTGTGATTGGTGATGCCATGAAAAAGGTTCAATAGGTAAAAACAAGTCGTTTGTTAGTTCTGCTAGCATTAAAATAAATTATTAGTCCCTTCCTATGGCATTAAAAAGCGCTAGAATGCATTTTGGTGAGGCTGAACGAAAGCTCTTAATGATTTCATAATCCTACGGGATGATGTGCTCACTGCATGTACATTTAATGAAATCACCTCTACGAATGTGAAGTGGGGCCGCTCCTATGAAATCGTGGCAAAGTCTCTAAAGCATTCATTATGTACCAGGCACGCACATGGCCGTCTTAATGCCCAAAAACGCCGTTAACAGTAATCTGACTAATAATGCTTCTAGTATACACCCAAGAGATGTGAGTTTATAGTCCATAGGACCATTGACATCTCTGTATACTATGTGTTATTGGTCTAGGTTTGGTTTTAAGTCCCAAGGACCACCAGATACAATGGTTACACTCATATATGTAACTCGATTAAAGGTACTTCCTTTGACACATGTGGGGGATTGTTGTAAATAATGTGTGTAGATGTGTCAAAGGAAGAGTCCCACATTACTTGAGATTGTGAGGGTCCAGGTAATAAGTTATCTCGGACTACTAAATGGGCCAAGAGGAGAAGTTAGCTCACATGCACAATAGGCCACCGGAGACAAATCTGACAATTTCTCTTTACCCCTTGTGCACGAGTCAAATGCGGTATTGGGCACTTTATTGGAAATATCTATCTAAATGTTCATGACAATTATGTCTCTTCAGTGTTCGTAATTGAATATTTTATTCATCTTAAATAGTCATTAAACAAGTTAATGATGATTTGAAACTACTCCTTTAATTATGAATTAATTCTCATTAAATGCATTTAAATGTGCCCAATGGTATTGTGATCCATAGCCTATAAAAAGGGCATGAGATAGAAGTTCAAAGTAGAATGCCATCTGAGCTTTCGGACAACTCTTTTCCCTCTGGTGTTCTACCTTACTGAGTTCTTTTATCTTTCGCTATTCTGCTAACCCTGTTCTTACTGGAAGAATCCGTTTCATCTTGGGAAGTGCCACTTCTTGCTTTGCAGGTAGTTACAGAATAGCTCTTAAGGACAGTGTCTATAAGACACAACTTAGATTTACCGTTTCTCTGTAGGTATTGTCGTCAACAGGGTTTGCATAGCATTATAGAAGAGGTGAAAGATCTGCTGGATTTTGGAGAATTTAGGTGCTGCAACCAACAAGAACTCTATTTGACAGACGAAATTGGATAAACATTGGATGTCGTTGTGATGGAGAGGTAATGCTCAATTGTGTCCTATACGGTTTTTGGAGAATCAAATATTTGTTCTACTGAAACTCACTCATATTTTCATTGGGACAATGAAATAAATTCATACTTTATTGGACACACGTGATACAAAAGAAAACTTAAGAAATATCGAATCGATAATGACACAGAAACCATCTTTCGATATCTGAAACGGAGTTCTTGTCCTAATACAAAACAATCGCTTACAATAATTCTTGAAAGAACAAAAATAATGACTTGAATTAGACTCAGTCACATTTAAAACAAGTATAACTGACAACATCCATCATTCTCATAGAGGAATGAATTAGCAAGAGATGTAGATTACCCATTGGCTGGGTAAGGAAGCAATAAAATATCAAAATAAGTTTTTGAATCTGTGAATTATAGTGACACCTATTTCAATGACTGTTTATCAGTCGATCATGCATAGTAACACATGCCAGGGTTTCTAACACACCACAGGGGCTGAATTGGCTCCGCCCCTATACCTCTTCTTACCATTCTGTATCTCCATTCATTCAATCTATCTGTGGCCTCTGCATATCTCCTCATACCCTTCTTATCTCTGTTGCCGGACCACAACGACTCAGCCATCGCCAATGTTCTCGGCCAAACTCTCGAATCCAAACCAGTTTGATCTGCTTGTTCAGACCACAATGCCACTTCCCCACCAAGAACCAGCTTTGCCTCATCTTCACTTAAACCATACGTGATATCATAGTTATAGATAAGTTGCCAGGTCTTGTAGGGTCCACACCAGGACCCTCCATGCCCTTGATCTCCACTTTGAATAACATACCGGGAATCATTCCCAACAAAATCCCCATGTCCACAGTCCAGATAATAGAAATCTGCAGACGAAACAATGGTTCGGTATCCAAAAGAAACAAGGCGCTTCGTGTTGTCGTGTCCGTTGTTCCATGTCTGTAGAATCACATTTTCTTTGGGAAGCATTGTGGATGGAACATGAACTTGGTCGGATAGGAAAACATCTTCCCAATAGACCACAGTTCGGTTGAGGGATAAGATATAAGGGAGAGTAGAATTGATGAATGTCTCAAGAAGTTGGTTGGAGGTTCCATTGTTGGCTAGGAACGCTTGAATTGTGGGATCGGTTTTCCAGCAAGCTGGGATGACCTCATCAGCACCACCATGATAGAATGGTTCTGGAAATAATGAAGTAACATCCTTTATGACATTCTTAAGTACAGTGTAGGTCCTAGGATTTAAGGGATTTAAATGTCCTGTTCCAGGTTCTGCAGCAAGTGCATCACCACCCTGCGGCATCCAGAACATGTTGGCACATGTTACAATATCTGGATATGCCAATGCCCAAGATCCTGTGTGCCCTGTCCATTCAGAGGTTCTTTAAATCAGTAATCATGGTAATCTGAAATTTATGAACATTGACATAAAATGAGACCCGATAGATACAGATCCTGTTCAGCCTGCCAATTCACATTTTCTTTTGAACAGTAACCATCATTGCCTCGATGGATACTGACCCAAATATGATACATCCAAAATATAAAATGTCTATACACGGGTGTCAAAGAAATATCAAATACATTGGGATTTGTTTTTCAAGCATACGAGCCTTATGGATCATGATACCTAGTAACATCACTGACTTATGTGAAAAGGGCATGCTTTTATATTAGAATAAAGGTTATTTCAAAGTATCAGACCCCAAGTTGTAAACTTCAAACTAGAATATTAAACAAGAAGTGTTAATTAACTAATAATCAAAAGGTCTTATGAGTAGAATGATTTATTAGTCCTCATCATTCTGTGCGCACCTTCGAACTTAAAAAAATGGGCACTCCCCTGCCCGACTTTCCAGTAACGCTACTCACAATAACACATCAACTCAGAAAATATAATTTGAACTGTTAGATACGAATGTTAAACACATCAAACACAAGATATGACCGGTCTCAATCTTCAAAACTTCCGTTTGATAAAGCTGAATTATGCTGAAGTGGGTAAAACGGCATTCTTTTGGAATGCCAACAGAAAACGTTACTTATCCAAAGGTTCTAAACATTCATGTCCTAAGAGAAGTATAGAACAACTAATTGTATCAACCAGCCACTTCTTTTTGGTGGTTTTGGGGGATCTCAATCATTTTTTTCTGTTCTTACTCAGTGAAGTTTTTAACGAGTAATATTCAGCCGATCCCGAGGTTGTAGGAGAGATCAGCCCAATTAGTTGCATCCAAATAACTAGATCTGCGGTTATGGCCTGTCACAAAATCAAAGCTTTACAGTTTCAATTAGAACATGATCATACTATATATTTACATACAGACAAAACCAAATTCTTCTATTTTTTATTTCATAGTACAGATTTTAACAAAGGATGATTACATACTTGGTGGGCAAACAAAGGGATAATCTGACTCGGATACTCAGCACATAATCTCAGTCTTTTTTTTTTTTTCATCAATGTTTCTCCGTTTTACTGGGATAAAAAATATTTGTTTTCATAAATAATTTTTGTTCAATTTTAAGTTTAAAAAAAATGAAAGCTTTTGAGCTATGTAAGGATATACCTACATACTCTCAATTTTTATTTTTTTTTTTGAAAAGTCATGCTCGTGGTCTTAAAATTATTAGCAAGGAGCCTCATATTCAAAAGAATAAAAAATATTCGTCACTTGAATGCATGCTATTAAAACCCAACTCAGATCCGCTAGTCAAACTAGTCAAAGAACTACTTTCTAATGAGTTTTAAGATTACGTTTGGTATGGAGTATTGAAAATGAGGGATAAAGATTGGGATTAGAGTTGAAAACATATGTTAAAAGGATACTTAGTATGAGTGATTTCTTATTACATGGGATTAGGTAATCCCATATAGACAGGATTGGAGAATACCACTTCCCCTCATAGTATTCTCTAATCTCACATATATGGATTTATCTAATCCCAAGTATCATATAATTACCCATACTAAACACTCTTTTAATATAGTTTTGTACTTTCAATCTCAATCCTTATCGCTCATTTTTAATCTTTCGTACCAAACGGGACCTAAGAGTTTTGAATAGGTCAATCACATTGGACTTTATATTTTTACCAAGTCTAAAGCAATATCGTCTTAACTTAAGGGAAAAAAAAAATTGCAGTTCATCGTGTCCATGCATGTTTTAGTAACTGATTCTGTTGAATTATATGTGATCCAGTGGTATTTGTTATATGCAAAAAGTGCTTTTATGCAATTATGATAAAACTCTTCTCACTAACATGTTTTAGTAAAAATTATGTTTAAAACAATGGTTTAGAAACACCTTATACAAAGATATTCTATTCATTTGTAAACTAATATACTTTTTATTTAAATATTATTATTATATATAAATATTTTTATATGTTTTAATTAATTTAATCCAATTCAACTATGATTGTGCGCAGACCATTAAACCACTGATCACTGATCCCAAAACTACCACTTTTATCGGTCCAATTTTCATTGTTAGGCATGGATGTCGGGTGTGCACTGATCCGGGTAAAAAAAATGATTAAAACAAAATTGGGGGCACCCCGTCAAATTAGATATACTAACCAGGTGAGTCAATTTCAGGCAGAACTCTAACCCCATGATCAAGCCCAAATCGAACGATCCTTCCAACATCGGCGGGAGAATACTGCATATCGGAGCCATACGACCCCTTATCGGCCAAATCTGGTTCCGAAGGCACCACCAACGGAAAAGAATGCGAGTCCGTAATGTGCCAGTGAAACACGTTCATCTTGTTCATACTCCATCGCCGAAATCATCCTCAGAATATCCTCCACCGGAAAGTAATTCCTCGACGTATCAAGCATAACGCCTCTGTGAGCGAAAATCGGCGCATCCCAGACGTACACTTCCACCGCCACGCGCGTCGGATTTCCCCATACGAGCTGCGAGAACGTCTCCGGGCCTCGGATGGCGCCCCACGGCGTCGCGGCAGTGAGATTGGCGGGTCCGGTTGCAGGGATTGTGAGAGAATAGGACTCATCGACGCCGTGGTGGAGTGGAGCGGCGGGTTCAGCGACGGTGATAATGAGGGATTGTAAGGGAAGGGTGTGGGTTGAGAAATTAACTGCGGAGGGAGGGACAAGAGGACGGTGATGCTCGGTGAGGATGAGGCGGAGGTAGCGGCTGACGGCGGCGGCAAGGTGTATGTGGCTAGGGACGTTGGTGGTGGTGATGGTGAAGGAAGGGGAGAGCAGAGTAGCTTGTTGAGGTGAAGGCCATTTGATAAGTCTTGGTTGGGGCCACACTGTAATGCTGGTGGTGGTGCCAGCAGCAGAGTGCACATTCCCCTGAGCAATGAATATGCATAGTGCCAGCACAAGAAGTGCTAGGGAATATGCATTGTTGGTGGAATTGAGTGGACTTGGTGGCCTTGGCCTGTGCTTCAATATATACTAAAATTTTCAGGAAACAAGTTATGAGCTCTCGTCCTAAATAAACATGAGTAGATAGAAATTAAATTTAATTCTAATATAAATTTAATTATTTTTTATATTTATAAATTTTTTTAAAGAATCCATATTCATTGTAGATACTAAGAGGCTTCATTTTTTTTTGGCCACCTAGGAGGCTCCAATTAAATAGTATTCTCTAATACACATAATTAAAAAATATTATTTAGAAATATATATTTATCACAAATAATTAAATTAACTAATTTTTTGGTATTTATAAATTAATTATGAAGATTTTATATTAAGAATTGGATGCAGCATGTACAGATACATATATAGCTTTCTTTTTAAGCCAAAAGAAAAAATTACTTCAGATGAGTAATTACCATGCTTGGTTTGGCTGGGGGCTGTTAGATAAGATTGAGTTTAGAAGGAAGAAGTAATAATAACAACAAGGTTAGGAAAGCATTTAATTAATCGAATCTGATAACTAAACAATAGATGCATGTATTAAAAATAAATTAGTTTAAACGTCAAGAAT